GCTTTTAAAAGTATCTTGTTGGGAACTAGGGGTGGTGGAAGGGAAGGTGGGCGGCGGGGGGGGGGTTACTGGGTGACGGGCACTGAGGGGGGCACTTGATGGGATGAGCACTGGGTGTTATTCTATATGTTGGCAAATTGAACACCAATAAAAAAATTTATTAAAAAATTAAAAAAATAAAATTCCCTTATTGGGATGCCTCGATGGCTCAGTAAGTTAAGCGTCTGCCTTCATCTCAGGTCATGATCTCAGTGTCCTGGGATTGTGCCCTGAGGCTTCTTTCTCTCCCTCTGACCTCCTCCCCACTTGTGCTCTCTCCTCCATCTCAAATAAATAAATAAAATCTTTAAAGAAGAAAATTCCCTTGTTAACCCGAAACTGTATGTTACACTGTATGTTAACTCATTGGAATTCAAATAAAACTTGGAAAGAAAAAAAAAGGAAAAAAAAAAAAGAAATTACCTGTGTCAAAGCAACATGAAAGATAGGAATAAAATTAGAGAAGCAAAAAATTAAAAAAAAAGGCATTCGACTGATATAGGCATATTTTGCTAAATTTATATCCGGGAACCCATGAATACAGACATGTTACATACATAGATAGGGAGTAAACGTATAAAGCTATTCATACGATAAATTTGTGCATCCGCTAGTTAGAATGTTCAAAAATGCCAGAAAGTATAAATGTGTATGGAAACCTCTGTAATGATGCTTGCAAAGCACATTCGCAGGGGAGCATGAATGGAAGCATCCAGTGTACATACAGTCGGTTTCGGTTAATAGATGGTATGTCCATGGATAAAACAAATGCAACCTAGAAATCTCCAAATTTATTTGTGAATTCCAAAACCAAAAAAAAAAAATCACTTTTACATGCATATCATGACCCCCCTCCTCCCCACCAAATAAAGTAACAATGAAAGAGGAAATGCTAGACAGTGGGATTAGCACTGTAAGGAAGGAAGACTTGTCCCTCATTCAGAAAAACTCATCTATGTCTCCATTATGGGAGGAAAGAGAATAACTTTTGAAGGGTTCATATTTCCACACCTTTTATTTTATCATATCAAGGTGAAAACACATAAACAAGCTGATCATTTTCTAACCAGGTAGATAAGAAGAGCAAGGTTGTATTCTTTGTCATGTATGATAAGAGTTGATTTCATCAACGTGATAGTTATCTAATTTATTTCTGCCCCTAGCTGGTCTTCAGTTCCCTAGATTCAGAGAATGTTTATTTTTTACATTATATATTTTTTTAAATTTGCAAACATTAATTGCTCTAGTATGTATTAAACTATGTCCTTATCTGTTGTGTAACAAATGACCAGAAACACGTCTAGTAAACACATTCTATTTACTTTATGCCACATCTGTTTAAGGGGGATCTAGGTCAAGGATTAAAAGAGTAGATCAGAAATGTGCTTTTCATGACCTGCTCCTGCCACCCCCACCATACTCTTCTTTTCCCACTGTGTCAGAGTCACCTGAACTCACCCTCAGCGGCTTTCATAAGCAAACTCTCAGCAGCACATTTTTCTCATGTTGGAAACACACCATTGCAAGATGTGGACTCCCTGTCAAGTGGACACTAAGGTTTACATACTTGGCACATTATTCCAAGGAAAGTTTTGAGGAGCAGCTTTGAGGATTTCCCGCCCAAAAATCTTTATGTTTGGGGATGAAGACAGAAATTTGCAGTGGAAAAAAGCACCAATTTATCATTTTGAATGTGCTGCTAACTTAACATGAGCTTATCAGGGGTGCTCATCCCCTGCTTAATTCTGCTGCATCTTTTAAATTTGAGCCGGGACCATCTACTGAACATCTATGTCTTGACTTAACTTTCGATGGGTGCTTTATCATGAAATAGTGGTAAAGGTAAGCCAGAGTCAGAACAAGGACGTGACCCACCACAGATTAATCTTTCTTCTTCTCTTCACCCCTGGTAGAGATATTGGGGTGACCATATGCTCATTTGACAGTTAATCAAACACAGAGGTCAGCAGCTTCTTCCAGGAGCCTCAAACGGAGCCTGATTTTCTAGGAACAAACGTATCATGTTATATGATCTTCCCAAGATGTTACTGTGTCTGTATGAGGTAAAGTGAAATGGTGTTCTCAAAGGAATTAAGGGATTTAGCAGTGGGGAACCCTACAAAGGGAGGGAAAGGAGGAACACCTACACACTACAGTTACTTTACTTCTGATGTAAGGGCTGCCATGGGATTAGACAAGAACTGCATAAACACCCTGGTTGATCATGGCGCTATCAAGTGTGTGGCTTTTCTGAGTGCTGGGGGGATAGGGAGAGAAGGGGAGGAATGGAGAGGGAAGGAGAGGCACTACCTCAAGCATAAGGCTGAGAAATAGAGTTTTTATTTTTATGAAAGAAAATAGAAGAAACCCATTTGGAAGGTTTCCGTGGAAGAAATCTACATTTCACTGTCATCTATACTTAACACATTCATACGTCCTATGCTTCAGGGAATAGAAAGCAATGAAAACTTTCCCAGATGATTCTTTGGTGTTTTTTTTTTTTTTTTTTTTTTTTGGAACAGCACTAATTCACAACTACCTGGTTAGTTGTTGTTGTTTTAAAGATTTTATTCATCCATTTGAAGAGAGAGCAGAAGCAGAGGCAAGAGGCAGAGAGAGAGGGAGAAATAGACTCCTGGCTGAGCAGGAAGCCCAATATGGGGCTCGATCCCAGGACCCCTGGATCATGACCTGAGCCGAAGGCAGATACATGACTGAGCCACCCAGGTGCCCTCATGACTATCTGGTTATTTGAATTCAAATATTCTCTTTTAAATATTGTTCGCTAGTATCTGTGAACACTGTGAAAATTATCACTTGAAATTCGGACACCCATGCAAAATAGTATATTTTCATCAACCTTAGTTTAATATTATTTTCTCAGTGAAGGCTTTACAGAGACAAGGTACATTCATACCCTGCTCCCCCTGCTTTGTGGTATGCTGTCAAGAGAACCCTGTTTTGTTTTATTTTGTTCTGTTTTTATAGCTGTTGAACGGGCCAAGGGTTGGCTACCCCAAAATGTACCATTCTGGCATAATGATGATTTTAAATAAAAGTTACTTAAGATACAGCAATGAAGAAAGAATCCTGTGATCCTTCCCCCACTTGGTCTCCAGACAACGGGAAATAAATCTCTCATGGGAAAGTTACCTTCCCTGTACCAGGAGGTAAAGATATATCTTCATTATCAGAGATAGGAAAATTCAGAACCAAAAAAAGGCTTGTTACTTTTTACTAATTTACCATCCCTGCCCAAATTCTATTTAAAATTTATTAATTGAAGCTTTCAATGTTAAGTTTCCTTTATCCTGTCAATTCTTCACCGATTTATTGCCTGTTTGTTTAAAAAATATAGAAACTGGCTGCTTAGGTCATTTTTTTTTAGGTGTCAGTTTCATCACTGGGTCTCTCTGCACATGTAATACAACATTTTTCCTGCTGTTAATCCGTCTTATGCCAATTTCATTCTTAAACCAAATGAAAGCATTTGAAGGGAAAATTCTATAATCATGCATTAATCTGTATGCTTCCTTCATTAGTGATTCTCTCTCTCTCTCTCTCTCTCTCCAAACTGTAAGCTCCAAGAAGGCATGGCCTTTGTAGGAGGGGCAATGTGGCGACGTGGAGAAACACATGGATCTCATCAACTCACCGTCAGGTCTATATCTAGCCTCTTCCTCTTTCCAGCAACACAATATTGGGCAATCCAGTTAGTATTTTTCTACCTCAATTCCCTCTGTGAGATAAGGATAACTGTAACATTGGTCTCAAATAAACCTGAGAATATTTAATAATTTTCTAGAGAGGTCTAAAAGTAGTAGCTTGAACATAGTGCGCAATATTAGTACTCCTAATTACTAGTTTTTTCTTGCCATTGCTATTTCGAACAAAAAGTGGAATGGCAGATGCATTTTAGAATCTTGATGGGTATTTTTTGACTAGCTGAAGGACTGGATGACTGAAAGAACAAAAGGGGAGAAGGGATCATCGAGATCACTTTATTCAGTGATTTTTCAAATCACGTTAGACTCGTAGTCCCTTTCTTCATTAAAAGTATATTTAGAATGTGTAAGCCCAACCAATAAATCAACATGAAAGAATGGATACTCTAGTTGATGGTGAGTGTTTGTGGAGTCCAGAGCCCCATCCTCTACATGCTCCTCGGCAGCCCTGGCACTGTGTCTGCTAAAGGACTAGGAAAGCAGATTCAACTGCCGAATGCAGTGGGATGGTCAAGAAAATCTCTGATTTAAGTCCAACTGCTTAAGGCCCAAGAGGCTAGAAACTAATACTAAATGAAATTAAAGTGGCCTGCCTGAAGCCTGCAAATGTCAAAGGTAGATTCCAAAGACACATACATGCCATGTGAATTGTGTCTATTACATAGAGCAGCATTCCAAAATTCTTCCAGAAATGCCACATCTATTCTGCTTAAAGTCAGAGCCACAGGCCCAGAGATAAATCTCTTAGAAAAAGAAGCAAGGAAAAAAAATAGCTCAGAAGCAAAACAAAACAAAAAACCCAAACTAAAACATTCTATGTGTTTTCTCTTCCTAAGAAGACTACATCTTAGGATTCCCTGTACTGCACTGGGATATACGCTCCCTTCTGCTTCCTTTTTCTTCCCTTGCTGCTTCCAGTTCTGAATTAATTCATTCAACAAATATTTGAGGACCTTCTAGGAGGCAGCTTGTTCTGAGCACTTGAAGCTCATTTGCAAACAAAAATTCAAAAATCTATGACACCATGGAAGTCTACAAAAACAAAATGAAAAAATAAATAAATAAAATGAAAGATTTCTGGGACAGGCCAAAGAGAGATTGAAGATACACCCAGAGTGACATTTCCAAAATGTCCTTAGCTCTTGACACACAGAAGCAAGTACTATTTTTCATGTCAATATTTGTTTTTTTTTTTTCAATTAGTTTATGTAGGAGGATATACATTGTAGTCTTGGTAACAAATCTTTATTGAGGAAAAATAGGCCATCTTTCAGTAAATTTTATTCTTCATCATTGACCATTAATATTATGTAACATGATCCAACAAATGGTTTGGGGAAAATTAAGACTTGTACACATGACTAAGAAAATGACCCCTATGTAAACAAGGCTATGTTTTCAGAACTCCCTAGGTTGGGCCGGCTCACCTTACTCTATTGGCATCAGTAATAATTTCAGCCTCTGCTGTAATTAGTGCTGCTTACAGTACCTGAGCTATAAAAATAAGATTCCATTAGAGCAAAGTTCACAAATAGTGTTTTAATCCAACTATCCACATTGTAATCTAAAACGGTAAATATCTGCTTCTCACGTAACTGCCTTAGACTTGTAATCCAGTATGTTTTATGAAACAGAACTGTGCCTGAAAAAGCATTAGAATGCTAAATATCTGCTTGAAGAATTAAAAAAAAAACAGTTAGCCATCTAGTATATTCAGTATTCAGAGATTTAAGATCACACAGAAAACCACAACCAGGTGAATTACTGAATCAGTCCCTTTTCTTCTGAGCACGTTGGGATTGAACAGACAGTCAGCATTCAGTTGGGTCTTGTGAGTTTTAGGCCCACATCCAATTTACATAGTTAATGCATATAAAAGGAAAAAAAGTCCAAAACAAATTCCTAACTTAGAATGGATATATAGCATCGATTAGTATTCTTAAATAACTAGAGAAATATATTTTTGTTAGTTTCATTAGTACTTATATTAAAACAAGTTTATTCCATTGCAAAGTATGTTTGTTTCTCAGTAGGAGTCAATTTATATTCTTCAAATCTTAAGTAATCTTTTACTGCTTACCATTACAGGCACGTAGTAGAATTATACTACCTCAATTTAAGATTTAGGTTAATATTTTCTTCCATGTGAGGGTAGTTAGGCTATGAATGTTAACTTCTCAAAAACAACATCAATTTATGGAGCTGTTAATTAAAAGAAATAATGAGAGACAGCATCTCTTTTATGGACAAATCTGCACATGTAAGTAAAACATTTTAAACCTTTTGGATTCTATTTTAAAGCAATTAAAGGATCGAGAAAAAAACGCATTCACTAAAGTCACATAACACACTAAGAAAAAAGAAATTCTGTGCTTGACTATTAAAAGGAGCTTCCGTAACATTTCTTAAAAATATCTATAAAACACCTCTGCTACAATTCTTTTTTTTTTGAAACAAATAATGCAATGATTATAGCACAGTAAACTGCAGGATGCATAATGCTATCTACTGTTAAATGAAAATTTATACATTACACTCATGTAAAGCCCACATGATCATGCCAGTAATTAAGAGAAACACGTTGATTATTGTCACATACTAGAGATTTAGGGCATAGGAAGAATAATTTACAAATGAAACTGTCCAAATTTGATCACATCTTTCAACATCTTATAAAAATTTCAGAAAATATCAGCTCAATTCTCTTTTCATTCGTTCCGAAGTTGCCTCAAAACATATAAGGTGAAAATCGTGATTAACGTTCCATAGGGTCCGTAGAGTCTAGGAGGGAAGTTGGAGCACACGGTGTGTGTGGGAAAGTGAACCTAAATTGAAAGTAAATTAGCCGCTCTCCTTTCATAATCATTGGAGGTGGTTGGCTTTCTGAGTACAGTGGGGAAATGATAAGCCATCAAACTTGGAAGCTAGCAATATTCCATCTAATAGAATTAAATGAGTATTAGAGCTGAGGAATTGGGAGGAAATTTGGACCTTCAGTTTTTTGTTCTATCCTGGGCACTTCATTTGAAAACTCAAAGGATCATCTAGAAAATAAATTCTCTTTTTTTTCTTGGGTTGCTTGCAATCTAAAAAAAAAAAATACTGATAAATGACATGAATTACTCCACAAATATAACTGCTACATGATTATATCACAATAATACTTACACTATTTATGATAGTTTGCCATTTCTCCAAATCACTAAATTTCTTGGAATATGTCATTGTGATCACAGGCATGCCATTATATATCAGAATTTAAGTTCACCTATTGATTACAGATTTCCTTCCTTCCTTCCTTCCTTCCTTCCTTCCTTCCTTCCTTCCTTCCTCCCTCTTTTTTTTTTCTTTCCTCCCTCCCTCCCTCCCTCCCTCCCTACCTTCCTTTCTTAAATTAATAATATATTCTAAGACGACCCGCCAGGATACTGTGCTCCAAATATATGAATTGTAGCTTGGCAGAGCCATTCTGTAAAATCAATCATTTTATATGCTTTGTGCATTTGCAAAAACGGATCTAGCCAGGAGAAGAGTGCAGACAACCTGACTGGTTCATTTAACCCATTAATTTGAGTCTTCAAGTTTGATGCTATACCAGTTCTATCAATCAGATAACTATTCAGATATCAATTCCTGTTGCCTGTGAGCTACATTCAGATTATTCAGGAGTGCATGTATTTGATTAGTGGTATGTAGAGACCCAATTTCAAAGATGATCATGGCTGTTGACTTGTTTTCAAAATATACAAATCTGGGTTTTATTGGTTCTACATGGCTAGTTTTGCATTCATTAAATCCCTATTTTAAAATGGGTATTATCTGCTTGCACATTTGTGTTTTGCAACCCCCTTGTCATCCCACATTCCACTATCCAATTTCACGCAAAAAAAATCTTGCCAAGCATTTTAAGGAACTCAATTCCTAACGTGGAGTAATTCCAGCAGACAACTATACAGATGTGTCTATAGAATGCCAAAAAAAATCTTGTCAATTATGTCAGAAATTTAGTCATTCATCCAGATATTTTGTCTATATCATGTCAAACATGTTTAGTGAATTCTGTTAACTGGCTAAAAATCTCACAGAATTGCCTTGACATTGTTTAGACATGGTTCAAAATATTAGGAAGAACAGCAATAAACACCCTCAAGTAAACAGCATATTCGGGTTGACACAGATTCCAAACTTAAAGTGACTCCCATTGGCCAATGAGGACCAAAATCTTGGTGATATGGCTGCAATTTGGATCCTAAGAATGCCAAGGATCCACAACATTTTATCATCCTCCAGTTGATTTCAGAACTAGATCATATAAGTACTAGATACCCAATGAACTAGAAGAATTAAACGCCATTCAGTGCATTTGAGTTAAAACTGACCAATTTATACTGGGCAATTTACTGATGACAATGACTATTTATGACGGTGGATATCCATTTTAATTAGGTTATTGCTTAAGGATCATAATTGGCCTGGAATCTTTTGGAAAATTTGTAGACTACTTTATATAAAGTACAGAAAATTGTGAAAAAGTTGCATGCTTTAAAAACTTAGTATTTCCATCAAGCCTGTGGCTGAAAAAGAGTATGAAGACAATCGTAAATGAATGTTTTTAACACAGTTTCTTGATATTTACAGTATTTTTTCTTCTCTAGTCGCCCTCCCATCAAAGCTGGTCAATTGTTTTTCTGGAGTTTTCTTCACCTCACATTCAGTACAAGGAGGCATTTGCAATTTCTGTGAAGCAATACAGAAAAGACAATGAGGATAGTTAAAATAAATATATGTTTAAGGTAAAAATTAAAATCCTAACAGAACAGGAATATAAACTTTTAAAGCTCAACAAATATCTTACAGTAAATGCATGCTAGGCCAAAATAAAATAAGTGTAAATATGTTAATACTTCTATTTCATGGAAGTACATAAAATACTGTTTACTAACAGCACAATACTTTAAAAATTATTTCGAGAAGACTTTGGCTAAACCATTCAACTCTGATTAACCTAACCCAAAAGTTAGGAAATGTGGTAAGTGAGATGAACCCTAAGAATTGCTATGATATAATATTTTTGGTCCAATATAGAACAGTTCAGAAAGAAGTTCGGAATTAAGTTCTTGAAATGTGCTTGTCATTTGTTTCTGTTGCGGATATGTATTTCTTTCTACCTCCTCTGCTTCCCCAAATCGTTTATCTTTTTTGTTCTCTAAGGAATAGATGCATGTTTTTTGTTGCCCGTATATTTTTGTTTTGTTTCTTGGTTGTGTGTGTGTGTGTGGGGGGGGTATACATCCCCCACCCTTGTTCTTCTGACTACCTCAGATGATTAAACCAGAAACTTAGTGGCAGGCACAAGTGGTCATGGAAAGGTCCAGAAGCACTAGGTGGAGGACGTATCTCCTATTACTCAATACAACATTCCTGCTTCAGCTAGAGAAAAATCATTGGACCCAAAGGATTCAAGTTCTTTCTGACAAAATCAAAACAAACAAACAAATAAAATACCTTTGGGGTAGTCGCTGGCTCTATAGTGACACTGCTTGATTGATTGTCTTTCGGCTTCATTAAGCAGGTCCTGCCCTCTTGTAAAAGCTGCAAATGAAAATAGATGAATGTAGTTAAATTCTATGAAAGAGGGCATAGAAAAATTCCCTTCAATTCTTCCTACTGGGAAACTTCTTTCACTCTGATGCAAGCCGAAAGGGCAACGTAGGGACAAAACTGCCTCATCACAACCGTGGCCCGAGCCCAAGGAGAGACCAAGCACTGGCAGGTGGTGTGGGGATCTTAGGGGTACTGATGGCCATCAGCTACTATGACAAAATTCCACTCAAATGGAAAGTTCTTCCTTTGTAAAAGCAGTTGAACTGAAATAAAGAATTATAAAACTACTGTTATCTGTGATGAATCTGGACTCTAAGACTTGAATATGTCCGTGGTCTGTATGCCTACAGGAACATCAGTATTGCCAGCTTGAAGCGAGTTAAACAACATAATCATCAATCTGTCTAGCAAAAGCTCCTCAGGACCTTGAACAAAGTATTATATTTTGAAAAATAAAATCTTATATTTTACTAACCAGGAATTCTCATCATATTTATTAGCCTCACCAGTTTTGAAGAATTGCTGGCAGTGTATTCCAATTGAGCTTCATTTTTATTCTTATTTATTTTTTATTATTTTATTTTATTTTATTTTATTTTATTTTATTTTATATTTTATTTTATGGGGGTGGCTTCATTTTTATTTTAACCAAGGTTAAAATATTGACCTTCCCTTCCTTCCCCTTCACCCATGCTCTCTCCTTCTCTCCTTCCCTCCCCCTTCCCTTCTCTGCTTCTCTTCTCTTCCTCCTTTCCATACTGTCTCTTATTCTTCCTTCCTCTCTCTTTTTCTGCCTCTTTATTTTAAACACATTTTCAAAGTAACTACAATAACTCTTCCTTGTAAGAATATGCTTCTTTTTTTTTTTTTTTTTTTTGCAGGGGGTGTGTCCTTTCCATGTGTACAACAGAGCCTAGAAGTTTAAGAGCGCATGGCCACTGGATAGCTCTGAACTTGAACAAGTCAGTTTGTTTCCTTGGGACCTGACAACGGGGAGGAGACCTACGTGTCCTTCAAACTCTAACGTCCTACAAATTCTACAAATAGATGACAGCTTAAGAGGCTGTACAGGAGACTTAACCTACTCCAGTTCAGGTTTTAGAGCAAAGTTATTTTCATATGCTCCCTGTTTTTTGCACTATACTGCTCTTAACTGAATACACACCGTGATCCTTTACCACTCCATGTCTATCTGTATGCCACCTCACCTTCATAAAAGTCTCTCTCCACTGTGACATCTTACAACCAGCTACTTATTCCCTCCCTAGAATGTCATTTCCACCAGTAGAGAGACTCAGTCATGCTTGCCTGCTCTAAGGGTACAGCGCATATAGAAGTTGTATCACTTCACAATGTGTTTATATGTATAAGCATGTCTAGCTCCCCAATATATTGCAAGTTCCTTGAAGACAGAGGTTACATTTATCAGCTCTACATCCCAGCATGATGCCAGCACACAAGTGGTCACTATGAAATATCTGAATAAGTAATAATGAATAAAACAAACATTGGCTATGAAAATATTTTAGTCCTTCAGAATTTTAATAAATGCCTGATTTTTTTTCATACGATCAAACATAGGTCTAGTTGATTGAGACTCCAAAATGGTTACACATAGCCCCTTCTTCTGTATAAGCTTACATTATAGGAGCAAAGTAAGGTAACAACTATAATGATGGAAATCAGTAGTCAAAACCTTGACTCCTCATTCCAAAGAATTTTAGGCAGACGCACAGTGGAATCGTGTAAGTTAAGAAATGTGTTTGTTTTTATGTTGTATGGGTTTGAATGAGACCTGGGATCTAAATTTTTCCTATATTATTATTATTATTATTATTATTATTATTATTATTATATTTTTGTTATGGTAATACACCTGGCTTGTGTTTTTTCTCATTCTTGCATTCAGCCTTTGAAAAAATAAATAGTTGTATAAAACCAAGCTAAAAAACCATGATCAATGCAGAAAGTATTCTGCAAAGTCTAAGCTTTTCCAAAATATATTTTAGGATAATGGAGTTTCTAGGTCATACACATTTGGGAGAAAAGTTTATTTGAATATGAAACACTTGTATTTAAAGTCGTTCTTCTCAAGCCTTTAACATATAATCTCTTAAAGTTCTGGTCTTGGATGACCTGTTCATATAATTATATAAGGTTATTGTTAAAACACTATACTCCTGAGTGATAATTCAGTCCTATGACCATGGGGCTTGCATTTTTAATCAGCACTCCAACAATTCCAGTGCACACTAAAATTTGAAATCCATTTCTTCATAATGCACAAACGCATTATAAATCACCTAGAAGGACATATAACAAATTTTTTTTCAAATCTATTTGACCTCAAAAACCTGTCTTGTGTGGTGTTCCACTTGAGGTCATTCTCATGAGGAAGATACTATTGGATTTGCAGTGGAGTTTTTTCTTTCATTAATGCAAGCACAGCTGACTAAGCCTTTGATCATCTAAACAATGAAAACTTATTAAACTTCAACATTAAAGAAAATATTATGTGGCTGAAAGATAGCTCAAACCTTTTTTTGATACCTTGATCTTATAATGAACACTACCTTTAAATTTATTTTTTTTCTGTGCCTCACGGGCATTGTAGAAATTTCATGAGATGGAAGTTCATAAAATTCTTACTGTTTCTCAGAGAAGCAATAGATATAAGAGCAACATAATTATAACTTGCAGGTATCATGCCTTAATAACCATCTTATCAACTTTGTAGCCATTGATAAATTGGGCATTCATTCGGTGAGAACATAAAAGGGAAATTTCTTTAACAGAGTCCTCTCGCATTTATCGCCAACATCACCCAGGCTGTCAAAAATTCCAGACAACTGTAGTTAAGGAAGATAAAAGACAAAAACAGAGAAAGGACACATTTCTAATATTGTAGTATAAACGTAATTTTCCCTAACGTTTAAAATGCTTTGGAGTAAAATAGACTTTAGTTTGAGTTTTGGCTCTGATGTTTATTCATTGGTGATCTTGATAAAATAATTTGATGAGTTATTTATCTCTGAGCCTCAGAGGTACAGTACATAGAAACCGTAACACTTAACAGTTCACTGGCTGTAAAATGGAGCTACTTCACAGAATTATTTTGAGGACAAAATGAGAAAACAAACATGTGCAGTATAAATACTAACAGATAATAAACACTCTCTCCTTTCTCCTTCTACAATTTTTCATGTTAGTATTAGCATTGTTAATGATTACAAGCCAAAAATTAGGATGAGCTGACACTGACATTATACATATGAAGTCTGGGGCAGAACCAACAGTCATGGAATTCCCATGCATAGATGAGGAAGAAGGAAAGGGGGGGAGAAAAGGAAATGGAAACCTAAGTGCTGATTTGAAGGGTTGCAAAACCACTAAGGACTAATACTTTTGATTTGACACTATAGATAAAAAAATAATAATAAAATTATTATTTAACATAATGTTCTTTTGTTGGGAGGAAAATAGATGAGAGGGATGCCGAAGTGACTCAATTAAGTGTCTGACTCTTGGTTTCAACTTGGGTCATGATTTCATGAGTCATGAGACAGAGCCCTGCGGTGGGAGCCTGCTTGAAAGATCTCTGCTTCTCCTCTCCCAACCCCTCCCATGTGGGCGTGCGTGCACGTGCACGTGCGCACGCACACACACACTCTCTCCCTCTCACTAATATTTTTTTTTAAAAAAGATGAGAAAATAGAAGTTTCAAGGTTATGCAGAATGATATTGATGGATTTAAAGATTTATCCAATTAAACATGGTCATGAGAATATAACTGGCCAACTCCTTAATTTTACTCTTGTAAAACCATGAGCAGGACCTAGTTAAGACTTGCCAGACTCCTGACTGGTGGAAAATAAGAGATAAATAGTGTTTCTTAAAGCCTTTCACTCCATGATAGTTTATAACTGAAAGCTAATACAGATATTAAGGGCAGGAGACTTATATGTCATATCGTGTGAGCCTAAAGGATCTTACTTTTGTGTTGCTTTACCTTTGTTTTGATAATTTAACCATAGTTGATGTTTTGGTTCCATACTTTGTGAAGGTAAATGGTGCTTAAACTGTAAATAAAAACCTTTTTGGGGTGATAATTCAAAAGATAATTGTGTGAACACAATATACAGGTGCCTTTTTAAATGTAACAATAACACATAATCTTTTTTCCCAATTCTTTCTCCCAGTGTCTTTGTTGCTATTAATAGTGCTGGCTTTTTCATGGTCTTAAAATTCTGTTTAATAGCCCTCCTCCCTTGACGTTCTATTATCTAATCTCTTATCCCCTTCATCTCAACCCCTCATATTTACACATGAGGAGATCAACAGTCATACAATGTTTTCAAGGCCATAAAAGTATTGTTGCTGTACATTTGGGTTCATTCCAAGATTCCACGTACCTTTTTCCTCACAGGATTATTTAACCTTATAACGTCTTATTGTCATGTTAGATTTTACAGTTTCAGCTAACGACACAATTTTTAACAACAAAATACTTCCTCGGGTACTTTTGAAACATTCAACAAAGACAACTTAGTAGATAGTAGGTACCTATGGGGGCCTGATGAATCAATGAGATGTATTATCCAGAAAAGAAGAAAATATGACTCTTGGTTACTTAGGGTGACTGGGGATTTCTTCATGAAGGAAGTGACAAAGAAATTCATCCCTGTGTAATGGGTAGAGTTGTCTGCAGCAGAGTCAGGAGGAGGAAGAAGTTACAGTATTCATGAAGTTGGAGAACACATCAAAGGTCATAGTGCTGAGGTCAGCCGAGACGGTTACTACTGAGCACTAACTAGAATAGGAACAGTTCATGGGATACCTTCTAGGCCACATAGTGATATATATATACTTAACTTTGCAATTATGAAGAGACAGGTAGAGTATAAATATCCTGCAAAAATATGCCTACTTGTCTGAGGAAGTTTACAAGTTAATGCTTTCCCTATGTGGGAATCTAAAGAGATTCATTA